ACACAGTGAACACTAGATCCATGGCCTTGTAACTGTTCTCCATACCTGCATGGTTTTTGTAATTTTTCTGACATTATGGAAAAGGCAACTGGATTAGCAGGTGCTGGATCCTGGCAAGAAGGTGGAAGAGATCTTGAAAGTCTGGAAATTACCTGCAGAGGAAGAGTGGGTGACAGACTCAGCAAACAAAACACCTAAGGGAATAGAATAGAGTCGCATGTTATTCGCTGTTAGTTTGGACAGGAACCTCAGAGATTGTTTTCTAGATAAGGAAATCAACATTCCTTGCTTGGAAAACAATGAAATACTAATTATACAGTACAGACAAACCCACTGTCATTGAGTCGATTCTGACTCACAGTGACACCCATTGCGTTTCCAAGGCAGTTAATCTTTACGGAAGTAGATTGCCCAGTCTTGCCTCTGTGGAGCATCTGATGGGTTTGAACCACCAGCCTTCTGGTTAGCAGTCAGATGCCTCAGTCACTGGGCTACCAGAACTCCTTATAGTGTAGCTGGTACAATACAATTTCAGAGAAGAGGTCAAGTTCAGAGATGAGATTTGGAAAGAAGAGTATGAATGAGTGATGGGCCTAGAAAAACCTTCCAGATATGGAGAGCAGAAAAAAAATGAGACAGGATAGGAAAGCTAATGAGCTCTTTCTGGGCCTCATTAAGAAGGGGAAATATGTGGCAATTCTTAAAAGTTAGTGGAGGGAACCATGTTGGAAGCATTACCTATAATACCATAAAGGATAGTTCTATTGATTTGAAAGAAAAAATACACTGGGTACATAGAAGAAGGAAATCAGAGGGGGTGACCAATTCCCCAACAATCAGACCATAATACATCATAATATCCAAGATCTGCTCCCCTGGTGCTGTGGATACAGATGGGAAGAGGCAGGGTAGGGAAGACACTAGTAGGGAGCCATCTTTCTTCCTTTTGTTTTTCCAGGCTATAATAAATATATTTTTAAATTAAGAAGTAATGTTGTAAATCTGGGCTGAAATTTTCTGAGTGACAGTTTCTGATAAAGATAACTGAATTGTTCCTCTCTCCTCCTGTTTCCTGTAGCTCTCAGCATTGATTATCTTCCTTAGAAAAGGACAAAAAGCAATTTCAACATGTAAGATGAAAGAGAAGAGTATTAATCATAGTGAAATTTGACAAGGCAGAGGCCTCCCTCATCCACTAGCACTACTTAAAGCTTTTATGGCCCCTCTAGACCAGCTCAGTGCTTTAGCATTCAAAGCATAAAAGAGGAAAGATGTGAATTTGGAAAGTAGTAATAGCTTAGATTGGCCTCTGTTTGGATGTATCTCTTCTTACCTCTGGTTGTCTAAATCGGCTCATCTCAGCTGTCAGCAATTTTTTTTTTCCTTTTTTAGAAAATACTACCAAAAAAAAAAAAAAACCTACCAAAAAAGAGTTTAAGACTCTTTCAGTTAGCTTGAAATTTATGCCCAGAACACTTAAAAAATGCAAAACAAAATGCACTGCCATTGAGTTGATTCAACTCATAGTGACCCCTCCTTTGGTTTCCAAGGTGATATCACAATGGAAGTAGATTGCCCAACCTTCCTTCCAAGGAGTACTTTAAATTTGAAAGAATGCCACCAATGTGATTTTCAAACTGAAAATTAATGTAATAGATAAGGATTCTAGAAAGAATAATGTCAAACCTGTGAGGAATTGGTCAATTATGAAATGGTCCCAGACGATTTCTTAAAAAGGAAAAAAAAGATGTTCCTGCTGCAACCCTATTTATAATTCAATGTAGAATATGGGGCCAAGCCTATGACTAAATGCAAAACCTGCCAGGTGAATGTGATGTGTAGACCAAGTATTTCCCTCGAGAGGTCAAAACCTCATACTTCTCCCTACTATGTAGCAGTTAGAACTAAGATACATCACTATATCTTAGGATTAGGGACTAGATGGGACATTGAAGGATCATCTAAGCACTTTCTCTGCCTTCAGAGAGGAGTAAATCAAGGTCATTCTATATTACTAAATTTTCCTTGTTTGTAAGTTATATTTCTCTGAAAAACTTCATAAATGTGTCCTGGAGAGCTTTAGATTCATCACTGTCAGGAAATCATTTATGCATAATCTTTCATATTTCAGTTTAAGTCTCTTTCCTTTAGTTCATGCCATTGTGAAGAGATATGAGCTGGTTATTGTCTTCCTAATAAGAAGACTTCACATTCTTAATCTTTTTTCCCCTTATATTTATTCATTTCTGAAACCTTTCCTCATATGCTCTATTTATCTATAATATTTATGGTTTGATCCATTTCCCCCAAGTTAGTTGCTCTTCTTTTGTTAAGAAACCCAAATGGGACTCTGTATTCTATGAAAAGTTTGGCCAATTCTACATATAAAGAACAAAAGAATAATGACTGAATAGTTCCTACAGTCTCAGGGCTTACCAGGACCACACTGGCTTTTGAAATCACAGGATGCATGGCTAGTGGTCTTTGGTGTCTTGTTTTTCTACCAAAGTCATATACAACTGCTCCATCTTTGATCTAAACATACATTTTCCTTCCCAGTAACTCTCCTTCACAAAATGTTTATTGAATGGACAATTGATGAAATGGTTTTAACTGGGTGCACAATGAATATGCAAGACCTTTTTCTTAAAATTAGGAAATACATGGGGGGAAAGGAGGGATATAAAGGAAAGCTTTTTCCCAACACTTGAGCTGACCATCCAGTGCCCTCCAAAGGGCCCACTCACATTTCCTGCTGTTTGTGTATTCATGGAGATTGCCATGCAAATTAAAGGAAATAATAGAATGCATTTTTAATTGTCAATATACTTTACACACCGTTTGTCTTAGTGACCTAATGCTGTCTTGCCAAAATGTATGATAACTGGAAGGCTTTAAAGAAGAGAATTTTATTGTCTCACAGTTTTGGAAGCTGGAAGTCCAAATCAGGGTATCAGCTTTAAGGGAGGGTTTCTTTGGAGTTCTTTGGCACTCCTTGGTGTCTGTCTTCTTCCACTGTGTGCCTCTATGTCTATTTTGCTCTCTTTATAACTCAGAAGTGATTGGATTTAGGACCCATCCTACTCTGGCATGTCCTTATTGACATAACAGAAGAAAACTACTATTTCCAAACAGGTTCATGTTTATAAGTACAGGGATTAGGATTTCAACACAATTTTCAGGCAGCATGAATCAATCCACAACACTGTATTACCACTTCTTCTTTCTAATATAGCAATATACCTTGAAGATCATTCCACTTTGGTACACACAGATCTTCCTCCTCATATGTTATGGCTGCGTAGTAGTCCACTGAATGATGTGCCATATTAGATTTATTCCAAATCATTCCAAAATATCCTCTGTTATTGTTGCTATGTGCCATTGAGTCGGCCCTGACTCATAGAGACCCCTCCTTGGGTTCCCAAGGAGATATCAGTACGGAAGTAGATTGCCCAACCTTCCTTCCGAGGAGTGGCTGGTGGGTTTGAACCGCCAGGCTTCTGGTTAGCAGTCAAGTGCCTTAGGCACTACGCTACCAGAGCTCCTAAAATATCCTCTTCTAGCTGAAAATTATCAAGGACTCACTATGATATTTCATCTTCATTATACAATTGTTATGGAGGGCTTACTATGAGCAGAACACTGTGTTTGGTGCCTTAGAGAATGCAAGAAGCAGTAGGTTTGGCAGCCTTTGCTCATTGGGAAGCTACAGTCTCATCAGGGAAAAAAAGCATATGGATAAGAGAGACCTGAGTCTATCTCTCTATAGTTTTCCTTTGTTTCTTGTATGTCAGGCACTCTTTCTAATGCATGGTACAAATGATCTTTCCACTTGTTGGGTGTGCACACAATTTGTGAGCCTGATCTGGCTTACACTGGGAGCCTCTAGAGTAGAGATATCAAACTCAAATGCCTATGAACCAAACCCAACCCACTGCCATCCAATTAATTCCAACTCAGCAACCACCATAGAGTTTCCAAAGCTATAAATCTTTACTGAAGCAGACTACCTCATCTTTGTCCTACTGAATGGCTGATGGGTACAAACTGCTGACCTTTTGGTTAGCAGCCCAATGCCTTAACCACAGTGCAGCCAGATTGCCTCCAAATGCCTAGTGTTGTTGTTGTTATGTGCTGTTGAGTTGGACTCGACTCATAGCGACCCCTCCTTGGGTTTCTGAGGCAGTATCGCTACGAAAGTAGATTGCCCCATCTTCCTTCCGGAGAGTGGCTGGTGGATTTGAATGGCCAGCCTTCTGGTTAGCAGTCAAATGTTTTAGGCACTATGCTACCAAAGCTCCTATTAGGGACTAGTAAATTGACTTAAATGTGTAAAGTAAGCCAGTTGGAAGAGCATAAGCTCTAAAGGGGGTAGCCACCTGCTACTCTGCTCCAGGTGATTATTTCTGGAGTTGCCAGATCTTCTGATTGCTTGGGAAAAAAAAAAAAACACCTGATCTGATGGCATAGTGCCTAAGGCATTTGGAGATTCAAACCGACCAGCCACTCCTCAGAAGGAAGGTTGGGCAATCTACTTCTGTAGTGATACCGCCTCAGAAACCCAAGGAGGGGTTGCTTTGAGTCTGATCCAACTCAACAGCAGAGATTGGTGGTGGTGGTGTCTATATGAAAGTATATGGATATGTCTCTAATATTTCTCTAATTGCACATGAATCTAATTCTCTCTCTCTCTCTTTCTCTTTCTCTCTCTCTCTCTCTCTATATATATGTATTTTAAGAAGGTTAATTTAAAAAAAATCCAGAAACCTATATCTTTGTCTGAAATGATCTGATTAATAAATGTTGACAAATTTTGGTCCAACCAAATGGATCCATTTTCTATCTGCATAGCTGGATCATTATAATTTGATGTGTATGGAGCCCAAGGCAACCCACATCCACAAGTTCACTTTAAAAATATTTTTGCTACTATAACTTTCAATTGCTTTTGACTCTGACCATCCCCACTTACTTGTTAAGTTTTCCTCTCATTTCAGGTCCTTGGATGTGGCTCTGTTGCCCAAGCTGTCCTCAGTCGAGGGCATTTTGGAGGGATTAGCACTATCAGTGTTGGATTTGCAATGGCTGTTGCAATGGCCATTTATGTGAGTGGTGGTGTCTCTGGTAAGTCATAGAAATAATGATAGCTACTCTGGTGGCATAGGAACTTTGGTAGTGTAGTGCCTAAAGCACTTGACTGCTAACCAGAAGGCTGGTTGTTCAAACCCACCAGCCACTCCTCAGAAGGAAGATGGGGCAATCTACTTCCATAGTGATACTGCCTCGGAAACCCAAGGAGGGGTCACTATGAGTCGGGTCTGACTTGATGGCACATAACAACAACAGCAACTCTGGTGGCATAGTGCCTAAGGCATTTGACTACTAACCAGAAGGCTGGCAGTTCAAACCCACCAGCCACTCCTCGGAAGGAAGATTGGGCACTCTACTTCCGTAGAGATACTGCCTCAGGAACCCAAGGACAGGTTGCTGTGAGTCAGATTCAACTTGATGGCAGTGACTTAGTTTTTTTTTTTTTTTTCTTTTTCACTACTAACACAACTTTTCCAAGTACTTGCTTTATATTCGAAAGATGTTAGCACATTTGCAAAGTGGTAAGTGCTTTACAGACCTTAATTTACTTAGATCTCAACAATTGTTCAAGAATATGTATTTGATCCCTTTTTATCGGTGACAAAATGGCCAACAGAGAGTAAGTGACTTGTCCAAAATTGAGCAAGAGGCAGAGATGGGGGTTGAGAATGTAGAAGTGACTGATTCCTAAATCTGTCCACTGCATTATATTCTTCATCATTCAGTGCAATCTTTTACTTGTTTTACCCCACATTGGGAAGCCATTTCTCAAATACTTCATGAATAGCTCAGTGAAGATCACTCCATGGAAACAAGTCCCTGGACCTTTATCCATAGCAATCAAAGACAACCTAGATCTCTTGCAAGGTGGTTGTGCCTTCCATGGAAGTGCAGGTTTCATCCAGAATGGTCTTGGTTTAATTCTGTCCTGAGAGATGGACTGATTAGTAGCTATTCTCCAAGTTCTGAGAAGTCAAATGGAATGATGATATTTAGTATAGTCTGGGAACTTAGGAAAGGAGCGTGGAAATGATCCAGTTACCAAAGGCACTCCGAATCTTTCAGCAGCTTGATCTGGGGACCAAAGCACTGAGGCAAGATAGTTAGTGATAAGGGAAGAACCACCCCCACAGCTCCAGGTGCCTTTGTGTTGATGCTGACTCATGGTCACCTCATGCATATCAGAGCAGAACTGTGCTCCATACGGCTTTCAATGGCTGATTTTTCAGAAGTAGATCACCAGGCCTTTCCTCCAGGGCACCTCTGGATGGACTCAAACCTCTAACCTTTAGCAGCCAAGTGTGTTAATCATATGTACCACCCAGGGACTCAAAAATAGCCTGAGGAACAATTCCATGCTGGGCACTGTGCTGTGTGCCCATACTTCATCTCTGTTCCCATTTAAAATAGTACTCTGAGATGGGTATTATCATCTCCATTTTACTGAGAAAACTAGGGCTCATGGAGGATTTAGTAAATTGCCTGACATCTCCCAGCTGGTAAAGAGGCAGAGCAAAGAATTGACCCAGGTCTGAATGATAGCAAAGCTCATGTCCCCATTATTATACACACATCCAACAATCTGTGATGGAAGGACATTGCAGACAGAGGCTTTGAGAAGACCTAAACCCGTAGAAGATTATGTAATTAAGTCAACTGCCTGATGAGAAATGCTGTCAGCAGGGTGCTGAAGAATGACTGCTTAAACTTCCTGGGAGCCTCTGTGGGCAGGGAAGTATGACAGACTTGCTGGCTGACCACCTTCCATTATGCAGGATTCAAATCCTAGGGTGGGGTGGGGTTATACTGATTAATGTATAGTCCCTAGACTATGAGCAAGTTCTGTTCCTAAATCTGTCTTTAAGTCATATTTGTACATAAATAGGAACAGTTAGGTATGGTTCATATATAATGTCAGTTAGTCAAATGTTTGTCTTATTATATAGTATATGTTGTTTACCATCGAGTCAGACCCGACTCATAGTGTCCCCTCCTTGGATTTCTGAGGTGGTATCACTACGGAAGTAGATTGTCCAAACTTCCTTCTGAGGAGTGTATATAGTGTATGGTAAAACAACATTAAAGACACACTTCCAGCTCCACTCAAACATCTTTCACATAATAATAATAATAATAATAATAATAATGTTTTGATTCATTTTGCAAAGTAGTGCTTGTTTGTTATTATAAACCATTGTGTATACTTCAAATTTTTGATATAATAGGCTTTACAGGGATTGTTTTTTAACTATACAACCATAGGTTGTATGGAAGTCAGAGGTTTACAACCCAGGGACTACCTGTATATGTGACTTGTTTGGTATGAGCATTGCTTCCACTTATACTGTTACCTATCCTTTCCTGTGATCTCAGCACTGTAACTCCAACCATAGCGCACACTACTAGTAAGACCCAAGAACATGTGTGCCATAAATGTGCCCTGAATGGGCAGGGTATTACTAGAGTGCAGAGTTTAAATCAGACATATAATACACTCTTGGCTTAAAGCAACCATGCAGGATCCTGGCTTGCTGTCCCTGGCTCCCACTACATTCATGTCAATGTGACCTCCATAAACCATGCATATTTTCAGCTATTTATTAGCTGGAGGTGTGGTTTGGGAGTATTTCTCTGCATAACATCCTGAATGAAACATTGCCAAAATTCACTTAGGATAAATGGACCCCAGGCCCTACCTGTGTAGTCAATACCCTTCATCCCCATCATTGTCCATCTGTTTGTCCACTGATATACTTAGGGATTTCTGTAGTCATTGTAGAAAGAAGAGGGCAGGGACCAGTATGAAGGAGAATAGGGCATGAGAAGAAAACACAAAGTCTTCCTTCTGGCTTCTGAACTGGGTTTAAGCCTCTATGGTTAGACGGGGCAAGGGCCAGACTGATGGCATGATTTTCACTGGAAGTTGTGTTTTGATTGAGGGCCAGAAGTTGACTAAATTGTTTACAAGAGACAGTGGGACTCCAGATGGGTAGTAAAATGTGGCATTGGGTTGGAAACAGAGCCATTCTCTCCCTATCTCTTTTTGGAACATAGCATTCAGGTTCTCTGAGGACTGGTGGCTTTGGGAACGTGCAGTGAAGATATCACTGGCCCAGTGGTGACATCTACACAGGTGATACCATCAGTATTGACCTCAGTAGCCAGGCGAAGGACAGGAAGATTTGTATGTAGTAAGGGATTATCTCATGGTAGCTGCAGCTAACATACTGGTATAGGGGCACATGTTAAGACCCTCTTTAAGAATTCCCAAAATAACCGATGTAGGAGATCCTACATAAAGAGGGAGAACAAAGTGGTACAAAACTCAAAATT